GGTCCGATCAGACGCATGCTGCTCTCCACCGCGTCCAGAAACTGATTCAGAGTCTTCCCGTCAGCGATGTTTCCATCCGACAGCAGCTCGTCAGAGGAACTGCACAAGTCCTGTGGAATAAATCAGAGATGTTCATTCAGCCACTGTGCGAGTGCATGATCACAAACTACAATCCGAGTATATACTGTATCGTGCAGCGTGTGTTTCACCTCCAGTAATTTCTCTCCAGTGAAACGATCTCCACGTGGATCATTCAGAGACTCACAGCTGTTCTTCAACAGTGACATCAAATGCTTCAACTAGAAGACGACACATGGAAGTCTATAGGCATATTTACACAACTGAATAAGGCTGCTCTGTGCCTGCTTAAAATTCTGTTTAAAGACGCAGTGCATCATAAAAGTCATTTATGCCATCTCCGAGCAGCATGAAACGGTGCGCGTACAGCCACCTCACTGCCACATCAGAAGCAGTTCTGTGCCACCTTTGCAGTTTAAATGTAAAAACAGTGATTTGCAACGTTTCTACAACGTTAATACAACATTCTCTTAATCTTTACTCACAATGCAACACTCTTTGAATGCTAACATTGAGCAAACATCAATAACACAAAGAATGTTTTTTCTAAGAGCATATTCTGTCAACATTATGAGAACATACATAATGTACAAATAACATCTGAGAATGTTGTTCTCAGAATGTATTGTCTTTACAATGAGATGAGAATGCATATCAGATATTAATAATTAAAGAGCATTAAAATGTTTGCTATTTTAAGAATGTTTTATCTTTACATTTACATAACTAAAAAAGTGTGGAGATGTTCCCTGGGCATACTAATACTACTAATCATAAGCAGAAGTCCACATTGTACCTTCTCCGGCGTGTGGTCTGCATCAGACTCGAGTTTAAATTGATCACAGTCCATTTCTGTGCACAACAGCGAGAAAGACCAACATAAGCAAACAGACTATACTGATTAGCTTCCATAAGATTCTCATTAGCTGCCACATGATAAACAATCGAAAAAATATATCAGTGCATTTAAAATGATGCAAATAATAGTTTCTAATTCTCACCGATGCATTTTGACTGGTTGTTGCCATAGTTACTG